TCGGTTACTAAGACCTCGTCATTTAATAACGCGCGAGTTACGGTAGATTTAGCGCGCGATAACATCCGGCTATACGTCGTTAATGTAGTATATATGCACATTCGCGTCGCTGTATACTCAGGCAATGTTCCAAAACCCACGCGTCTTCCGATTAGGAATTATTCAACAGAACAATTTGAATTAACAACCAATTCTTTTTTTGAAAATTTGAATCGAAAATTTGATGGGACACATTTCGCGACCGATTAATTTTTTGTACGAAATTATAGAATAATTAATGTTCAAATATAATAATTCTTATGTCGACTTAATTGATGATAAATCATAGTAGAAATATAACACGAAGAGAAAATTAAAGAGGCTTATAATTTTGTCTAATGTAACTAGAGTTCGAAATCATTCACTTGTTAGCTAACGTGAAATTGGTTGTTTTCTGAAATTTCTTTTCACTTAACATCTATGAAATCTAATTTTACATCGAGAATAATATGATATGGTCTACATAAGTCCAAATTTATATATAGAGGGACGCGCCTTTCAAATTTCAAATGATCGGTTTGCTCGAACGATAGTTACAAATAAACATATCGTTAATTTTCATTATTTATAGGTTCAATGTTGTCTAGTGAAGAATTATAAACATTACATATTTTCAATATATTTGATATTATATAAATGAAAAAAGAAACAGAAAAAATAAATTTTTAGTAAAATTTAGAGAAAATATCGATTCTTGGGGCATTCTGTATGTATTAATGGTGGGCGTATATTTCGCGAACAGCACTGATAAATTACTAATTATTTATGTCAGGAGGAACTAGACGTTATAATTTTCTGTAGAGCGAAAAACACCGATCGTAATTTCTGATCTCGCTTCTGATTGACCGAGTTAGCTCTTTTATATTCTATTTACTCTATCTATATGAATGCTTTTCTACAATACGTATGTGTTATATCACGACGTGTTACATCGAATAAAATACTATATATAATCATTATCAATCATTTAACAAATTTAACTCTCGAATTGATCGAGACCTTTGTACACGAAATCAAATTATTCACATCTCCAACAATAATAATAAATGTATAAAGGATATATTTATGCTCTTAAATCGTTCTAAGCATCCATTTGTAGCATTGATTAAAAAATTGCAAAAAAAATTATAAGACAATAGCTCATCTTATCTTTGCGTTAGGTAAAAATAACAAAAGATAATAAAACGGTATAAAATGTTTTATCTACTTTTATGAATAGAAAAATTACTATTTCACGACGTAAATGTTGAGGAGCATTACGTAAGGAAGAATCCGTAACTGAGAATTTTCGTCTATATTCGGTGATGCACGACGTTACAATGACGATTCTGGCACTGCAGCCGGTAACTATAAGCAAATATTGGTGGAATGTATAGAAAGATGCACCTTTAGAATTTTCAATTCAGTTTGCATAAACGACTGCAGTTACGGATAACCCATCGTTACCTTCGAGTCGCGCTTATCGCGTTAACGAGACGGTTTAAGTAGAGTGGAACGGAATTACGGTAAAGCGAACACCTAGTCCTCCGTTACGTATCTAAAATAAAAGCTATAAACCGCATAAACTGCCCACGAGCTTGCCTCTTATCTTTTTTCTTTATAATTTATTGGTTTATTTATAATATTTAATTGTTAATATTTCTCAACACTATGAGTGTAGTATTTCTATTTCATTTAACATCTCCATCTGGTTTATTTGGAAATGGCAAACGAGACCATCTTTCGAGTTTTTGTTGAAAATTTTTAATCACAAAACATTAAATCCTACGTTCTCAATGAAACGAGCTTAGTTGATTCATTTGGCGCTTTTCGCTTGCGAAAGATTAACTGAAAATGCGCGTAGAATCTCGATATATTGTACATTTCCTTAAAAGTCGATTTATGTAAGATGATAAGGATCGATTGGATCGTCGAATATCATCAGTCGAATATCATCAGTGCTCGGTAAAGCGAGTCGGCTTTTCACACATATTGAAATTTTACGTGATATGATATAGTTTTCCAACATTTATGATAATATAGCATTTTTATGGTAAAAGCAATTACTATGCATTAATTTTTTTTTTGTTCAAATAGTTCAAAGAATCAATAAGTATGTAACTATCGTATTTTTTAACTATTTTATATATGAATGGGATCGGTATAACATTATACGATACGTTAATTGTTGTTTTATTAATATCGCCGAAAGTGTGTAAATCTTAAGTTTGTATTTTTAAGTCGTGTGTAGGTCATCAAGACTTTTACGACTGATAACCTTTTGCGCAACGATTAATTTTGCAAGATGACAAATGCAGGCTAGATTGTAAAGATTCTGATAAGAATTATGTTTATCTAGTATTATAGATACATATAGCGTATTCCAGAATTAGCATTCTCTTTCTTAATTTGAATATTATAACTTTTTTGTTTTTAATGGAAAATGATTGGATGTTCTTTTAACTCCTATTTATCTTTTATTGTTAAAGGAATATGTGTTAACAAACTAAAGCTATCAGTAAAAAAATTATGTTAGAACAATGTCAAATTGATAAATTAAAAAATTGCATTTTCGTGTTACATCGGTGCAGATTCCGTAAACTCTTTGATTATTTATATATACGAAACTTTTCATTGGCAATAACGCTCATATATATATATAGCTTTAAATTTCTACAAAGAAAAATAAAATCTTATAAATGATTAATAATTATAATAACATGAGAGAGAGAGAGAGAGAGAGAGAGAGAGAGAGAGAGAGAGAGAGAGAGAGAGAGAGAGAGAGAGAGAAACATATCACACGCGCGCGATAAAGCATTGGACTCCATCTAGCTTAATCCACGTGCTAATTTAAAGTTTCTAATCGCAGCTTCTACATATGATTTACAAGTCACTACTACATCGCGTGTTTATATCGTATTCTTTGTATTCCACTTTCAAGTAAAATTTTAAAAAAGGAAAAAGAGAAAGATGAACGGACGTTAAAAAATCGTATCTTCACCAGCGTCGAGAACAGTTTCAATTCCGATGGTACGATCAAGATCATTGTCGATGTATTCGCGATCATGCTAAAGTGGGTGCATTATTGCCCGTTGCCGAAGGATCGCGCGATCGCTCCCTCGGACGCAAAGGTGATCGTTCCGAGCGAGACTACGATGGACGAAAAGGATGAAAGAAGGATATACGAGAGAAGAAAATACGGTGCTGATATAGGAAGTTCGCTAAATACGCGAAACGCGAAAATAGCCACACCGGATGCTATCATGAGGAGATACTTCCGGTTTGGGGTAAGGAGCAAAGGAAGTCGTATACTTGACAGTCGGCTCTACACACGGCGATCGTGAGCTTCTTCCGATGTATATAATTCGCGTATTCTCTTCCTATCTTCTTCGTACTTTGTTTGACACCTGCGTTAGTGTATAATTACACATTTACCAGCGTTTCTTTCCGATTCAAAAGTTCATTTCTTATATTATCTCAATCAGAACGAAGGAATGAATTGCCTATCAACAACTTTTTTTTCATTCATTAATTCTGTAATATCCGAATAAGATACAATAATTTCCAATAGCAATGAGCAATAACATTATAACATAATATTTGCGCAAGTAATTTCAATTTTAATTAGTATGATACATTTGCGTTTATTTTACTTCAAGTGACTTTAATATCGTTGAATATCAAATATTACCTTAATCATTATCAGATACTATTATATAGAAAATTTGTATTAAATTTAATACAACTCATATTTTCCAAATAATGGTCCATCTAAATTTTTATACTTGACACACAAGATGAATATATTAGAAAGTATATCAGAAAATACAAATATTATATAAAAAATTAACACAAAATTACAATTAACATTACTGATTCGCTGCATTATAACGTCTTATAATATGATGTCTTAAAACAATCTTTAAGACATCTTCAAGACGTTTTATGTCCGCATTTTGGACGTAATGTTATCTGGGAATATTTTGACTTAATTTAGAAGCAAATTATGAGAGTAAATCAATAATGTTAATCTAACTGTCTACTAATCTAATTCTAACTGTTTTACAACTTACAATTTGTTTCTTATTAGAGAATTGTGCATAATCAACAGAAAATTATAATGAGGAGAATTATTACGAGATTATATATCTTGATTTATCCTGGCTGAGGTAATATTTTTCGCAATAAGTTCTTTACAGTTTTTCTAATTTAATTTAGGCTGAATTTAGGGGGAAATAGTAGCGTTTCAGACTGATTGTATTGAAAGTGTCCGAAAGTTATCGGCGCGCAATAATATCTAAAATAAATTTATTTAATAAAGAATACATATCGTATTATTCGAAACATCTAACTTTGACCGAAATGATGACGTTCTCTATCATATTTGATGTATCTTGATTTACTTGATCTTCTCCAAATGAAGTGAGGATACCAAGAAAGCAATTATCATTTTTGTTGAAATTGTTAATTGCAATTACTACATTGCAATGTGGATTAATTAAAGTCATACCCAGTCCTCATGGACATAATTATTATACTGGCATGACACTACCAATTTTATCTGTGTTGATGTTTAATTTTTGACTATGTTAAAGTTTATATTTTTGTAAATCTAAAACGGCTAATGAAAACTTTGTAAATTATAACTAGGTATAACGGTTTTCCGTTAATTTTTAATGTATTAAATTTAATATTAATATTACTTAACATCTATTGTTGTTAACTCGTTTTTGAATATTTTCTAAATAGAGTTTATACTGTAAGAAAATTTTATCGCCTTGTTTCTACTCATATTATGGCTATAATCCGGAAAGAGGATAGATAATAATATAATTGTTAACCAGAATTAGTTGATCAACATGATTAGCGGAACTTGGTCTTTATCGTTGCAGCAATCTTTGCGGATTCGGGATTATAGTATGATTACGAGTCATACATGATACGTTGGAAACATCGCTAACTATGCGTTTCATGGTTCGCAGGGTTCGGATCCGAGGGTAGCGACCTGCAGAGGAAAGCTGCAGAACAAGCGAAGTAAGCTCAATCAAGAGATCAACAAGGAGCTACGGTTGCGAGCGGGCGCTGAGAATCTTTTTAAGTAAGCTATGTAATTTATTTAGTGTACTACCTTAACATATACACACACAAGGAGAGAATTTTTTCTTAGAGTTACCCTGAAAATATGATATAGTTGTGGGACAATATTGTAATTCGAAGAATTTTAATGTAAATCTCTCATTCATTGATAAAACTGCAATAAAGTATAAAATAAGTTTGATTAATTTTACTGGAGTGCATGGTAAACATTTTTTTAATATTGTATTGTACCACAACTACCATATTTCCAGGGTAAATTTTAAAAGAAAATTCTCTCCGTGTAGTTGCATTTGTTTTAGTTTTTATTAATCATATTACAGGGCGACGACCAACAGAAAATTGAAAGAGACCGTCGCATTGGAGTTAAGCTTTGTCAACTCGAATCTGCAGTTGTTGAAGGAACAGCTTGCCGAGTTGAACAGTTCAGTGGAACTGTATCAAAATGTCGATGGGTAAATTCGAAGAAAATTATGAATTTTACTGATATGTGATGAAAATATACAATATTGAACGGTATTGTTTTTCAGCGCTGAGCCCGTTATGCCGATGATACCATTGGGACTCAAAGAGACCAAAGACATTGACTTTCGGGATCCGTTTAAAGTAAGTTTCAAATCAACGCGATGATTAGTTTGCGAGATTATCGTCGAGTATTTATGTAATTTTTTTTTTTATTCATGTCCGTTTATTCGAGAGGTGGTACGTCTGAATTGTCTTCGAAATCTTCGAGATTTTTTTTTTCTTTCTTCTGTGTTCGTTTCGCGGAATCTTCGGTTATCCTCAGAAAATTGTAAACGACCGTAGGTGGACCGATCTCGAGAAGAGCTCGTCGAGAAATCACCGGTGGTCGAACTGTGATCACCTTTGTTTTAGATTCGCTAGATTTCTTCTTTATTGTCGATTCATCCTTCCTGTCATCAACGATTGTTGTGCACGGAGTCAATCGGGCCATAGCAATCACTAAATTGCCAGTGGTCGTATTCCGTTGGACATTACTTTTATCAACCAATATCTCGCAGGGTAGGGTCAGCTGCAGAATCTTTCCTTTTATAGTGACTCGCACGTAAGTCGGATTTATGTCGACGTCAATGTAAGAGGTGTCCAAATGCCTTTATATATAAAAAAGTGCAATAATGATACGATTAATACATACATACATACATACATACATACATATATATATATATATATGTATAAATACATTAATATACATTAATAATGTTATACATTAATAATGTATGTTTAATAAATTTTGAATATCTTCAAAATCTCTATGCCGTAGAAAATATTGAGAATAGATATCAGAAGAAGCAAATTGTTACAGTTAGTTCTTTTAGTTACCAAAGAAAACAATACATTTTTATAAAGATTTACATAAGTATAACTTATGACATTTTACTATTTCACTTAGTTTGTTAGCCGTAAATTGTATTGTAAAATACTGTCTGTTTATGTGATTTTTGCTGTCGAAAGTAAATATTTCATTCTGTGAATTAGTTGTTTTATTGGATACATAAGCCGTAGGTATGTTATTATTTTTTTTGTATATTTCTTCTATGTACATTTAGTTATAATAACAATAACACATATTTGAATTGATATGTGTACTAGTCTTTTATTTGTGTGTATTTTCTCGGATGAAGAATAAAGAGTTAAGCGTTAGTTACAGTTCGATCGAGAAAGACTGATACAATGTAAGAATTTATGATATATTTAGAATTGATAAACTAATTATTTCTTTCTTTTAGTGATTGAGATAGATAGATATTAATCTAATAACTAATTCAAGACGAAAATGTGTATTAATACATTTTTATAAATTTTAGTTTTATATTCTAAAATAAATATTTTGTATGAAGTATTTTATATTTGATTTCATCGTAATCTTGAATTTGTTCGTATGTATACATGTTTGAGATAATTGTAAATATGACAATTTGTCTCATTTTATTGTTAATAACAACTTGTCTTGCAGAGTTTACCTGCAGTTTTACTAATGGAAAATTTTAATTTTAAATATTTAAAAACATTGATACAAAATAAAATATAAACTATTTAGTGAGGCGGTAACCACTTAATGTAATTTTAGGACAGAATCCTCGAAATCATTATAAAATTCATATGAAATCTCTATGTATAATCCGATAATTACATATGCAACCAAGAGAAATTATTGTATAATATTAAAATTAATTAAATAAAATCGTATATTTTATCAAATTACTTCATATGTAGTGAAAAAAAATTATTTGTAATCATATTCGTTAATTTAAATACATACATTAGTCCATAAAAAGATTCTAATACAAAATTATAACAAATAGTTCCAGGTTTCCTCTATCATGTAATTGTATTAATCAATGATTAATTACCTATAAACGGAAACTTCAAGAACAACAAAATCGGGATTGCTTTCATCGTTTAATCTGAATGGCACTTTTGCCTGATTCATATTGTATGCTCTTCCGTCCGGAGCGAATAATTTCAGCACACGTTTTGAATGATTACTCGTATCCGAAATGTGATGCTTTTTCTCTTGTTTTTTCATAACTCGTTCAGCGATAACGACTCTATCTTCTGGCGTATGATAACTAGGCTGCTTCCAGAAACGTTCATCTTCTGGCTCGTCATCCTGCTCTGTATTCATATTTTCGCTTTGCTCGTTCTTTGTATGTTTTGCTTGCTCTTCTGTAATATTCTATGGAAAATATTATACGCTCGTCTTTGCATTTTTCATGCGTAAATGAATCTACGACATAACTGTTTACATGCTTAGCAGACTGCAGATAATTTAAAAGACACTTATGCATAATGGCGATAGCAATACTGGAAATAACCATTTATTTGATTACCATTTGATTGATTGTTTCTATGGTTTCATGTTCAGCATTACGACGAATGCGTTGAGCTATCCTAGTTTTCTCGTAATGCCGATAGCTCTCAATAACATCATCTTGCGCTCTCGAATAAATCTGCAATGCCTTGATACGTTCCGACCTTTCAATCTCCTGCATGTCAAACTCTTGCAATTGCGGTAAAGTCGCCACAACATATTGTCTATAGTATTCGTAATCCGTACATGGATTTCCCATTAAAATCAAATGCTCCAAATGCTCATTACACCTATGTAAACCACGAACCACAGTTTAGAGAGAATCAAAAGGGATTTATAATTTTATTAAAATTATATAATAGTGTATAATATGAAAATTATATCAATTAATGCACAATCGATCAAAATTTAACTTTGATTGATCTTGATAGTTGGACCTTGACTAATTAATCAGGTAAATTATTTGATACGTTTCTTAACTAATGAATTTTATGATATCAATAATGAGAAATTATCTACATACATCCTAATAATTATGTAATATCATATAATAATACATATAGGGCAATAACTTCTTTAATTCATCGATTGATCAATCGAATTATGCGCAAATGTAATTTTATTCTGTAGAAGCTGCATTTGCGCATTGATCAATTGATAAATTAGAAAACGCCTAATATTTGTAAAGGAAAATACCTGAGACTTTTTACACTTTGTAAATTTCCAATAAAATTGAGGGTGAGGTCTAATTTCTTTAAACCCTCTAAACCCTCCAGGTTCTCAATAACCTCGATGTTATTGAGGGCCAGGTTCAAATATTCCAGCCTCTTCAACATATTCAGATTCTCCATCTTCGATATGAGGTTATTCTGCAATAAGAGGATCTTGAGATTTCTGCAGTGTCTGTCTATTAGTTGAATTTTATCGATATTCTCTTGGTGCAAAGCTATTTCTTCCAACGTCGATATTTCGCCCTCATTGTGCTCCGAACGTTTCCGTATTAATTCAAGGGTGATTTTTACCATTTTTATCTTGCATTAGCTTCTAACTTTAACACATTTTAACGAGAATCACGGAGGAAAATCGCAAATATCGTGAATAAAAATACCCGAACATGCATTAACCAAGAAAGCTTCGTAGTTGCTATGAGGATATCGATTTAACATTGTCAGTCATGTTTCCACGTGCTATGTGCACGTGTCACGAATTATTGATTACCCCGCATGAACGATCTTTTATTATTTATTTTCTCTCTTGTAGGATTTCATCTTGGAGCATTATAGCGAAGATGGGGAAAACTATGAAGAAGCTATAGCTGACTTGATGGAAACCAGACAGGTAAACAAATAATGCATGCTTTTCCTCCATATTATTCCATAATAGTAATAAACAGAATTTTCGAATTTACAAAAAATATTTATAACAATTTTTTATCTTTCTTATTTACATATTTCAAAAATTTTCTATGGAGAACTTTGCATAGATTGTCCAATTGCTTTTTTTTGTTATAAAGTATCATAATTTTCAATGATTTGAATATTATTCCAGATATACATAATTTAAGTTAATGAACATAAAAAGAAACAATATAATACGAATGTAGGCCGATGAAAATAAATCTAATTAAATACAAAAATTTCTATATTATGCGCCAAAATCTTTTTCAGTCTTGAAACGCCATCATAAGTAGAACCAGAGTAGTAATCACTTTATTAAATTTACGAGCAATTTAATAATTTTTTTATGCATCTTTATAAGAATATTAATAATCAGATAATAATCTGAATAATCAACGAGAATTTTAGAATCTGCAAATAATTTATTGCAAAAAATAATTTTGGTTGAATTAGTATAACGCCCGTCCCGGAAAGTCGAGAGTTTCAGTTTTAAACCTTAGCTGAGGCAATATTTTTTGCAATAAATTATTCGCATATTTTAAGATTTTCATTAACATCTGATTATTAATATTCTTATAAAGATGTTTATTAGGATAAAAAAAGATTATTAAATTGCTTGCTAATTTAATAAAGTGATATTACTATTCTGGTTCTGTTCATGATGGTGCTTCAAGATCAAAATAGATTTCGGCGCGTAATATCCAGAATTATAATAGATATATGTATATAAATTCATATAAGAAATATTTAAGCACTAAGATCCTGCTTTAAATAAATATTTTATTATTTTATATTCGCAGGCTACAAGGACACCGACCAGAGATTCAGCAGGCATCGCGTTACTCCTGCGTTATTATAATCAGCTTTATTTCATAGAGAGACGTTTCTTTCCACCTGACAGAAGCCTTGGCATCTATTTTGAATGGTTCGATTCGTTGACAGGAGTGCCGAGTTGTCAACGAACAGTTGCCTTCGAGAAGGCATCCATTCTTTTTAATGCCGGTGCGCTTTATACGCAACTGGCTGCCAAGCAGGATCGTCTGACTGCTCGAGGACTCGATCAAGCAGTCGACGCTTTTCTCAGAGCGGCTGGCACCTTTCGGTATATCCATGAGAATTTCACAAATGCACCAAGTATGGATTTGGGCCCAGATATGCTGGAGATGTTGGTACAGTTGATGCTTGTGAGTTCTCATTTTAGTCTTATAATTTAATGTTTGCTTTGATAGCTGTTCAAACAAAAAGAACTATTCTATCACATAATCAGGGCCGTTTCAAATCGGGATGCAACGGCAGTGCATCCTTGCAGCCGACGACATGTCTTTATAAAAATAATCGTACAACCGCACACGCGCGCAGGGATTTTCATGTTGATTATAGCCGTGACAGTATTCATTTGGATTTAGTGAAGGTTGATATGAATTATCGATAGAAAAGGGCGGTATAGGAATGCTCTGCATTCAGACACAATAAATCTTTGAAACGGCGCTGCTTGTAATTAGTGATCCCTTAATATTTTTTAATATTATGTATTACATAATACTATTAACGATTAATTCATTTCGCATTTTAGGCTCAGGCAAGGGAGTGTCTCTTTGAAAAACTGGAGCTTCAATCGAAGGACAGCAGAAACGTCGACGTTTGTTTAGATCTTGCTCAAGAGGCAGCTCAGGTAAAAAAATAAAAAGAAAAAACTTTTCACAATTTTTTTTTCTTACAATTATCGGTGTAATAAGTACAAGTGAATCATAAAGATGATTAATCCAGGTTGCGGCGATATACAATGACGTCCACGGATTGATATCACGCGAGCCAGTTCGTGATTACGTCCCGGAGACGTGGATCTCATTGATACTAGTGAAGCGCGAACACCATCTTGCCCTCGCTCACAAGCATATCGCTGTTGGTCTGCTGGACAGACCAATCGCTGAATTTCGCGTGGAAACAAAGCTCACGTTGGAGCATATTCAAAAGAGCGACGGGAAAACTCAATTGGACGCAACTATTCCCAGAGATGACAACGAAAGGAAATTATTGGGTACATTTACGCGAAATTTGTTTTATATAAATTACATCGATTGAAAATACTAATAAATGATATTTTTACATCTCGCCAATTCTTCTTCTTATTTATTCTCAGTAAGGAACGTATATGAATAGAATTGCTTATTACAGGCAAAGCACATCTCAGAGAAGCTCTTGTTTTGCATGACGAGAGTCAACGGCTCCAGAGAATGTGCCGCGAGTTGAAGGGTAAACAAGCTCTAGCGAAGGTTCTGAAGAAAGCTCAAGAAGCAACGCTTGAAAGTTATAATAGGTTTGGTAATGAGGATGATTTTCGAGAACTTTTGGATCCACCGGATATTATCGGTACGACGCTTTGTAAAAAAACTTATTAATCAAAACATAATTAATTTTTGTCTTTTCTATTTCGACGAAAATAAATCATAATATCAAAATGCATATTTTTTATTTTGCTCTTTTTTGTTTGGAAATATAGCCTCGACAAAATTTCAACTTAGTATCACTCATCCTGATTTTGGACAGCACGGAGTGGACGACCTTTTCAAGTCGTTGGGACCTGTAGCGATATTTTCTGCCAAACGTCATTGGACCGCGCCGCGATTGATACAACTTCAAAGAGGCCCTGACGGTGAAGGTTTTGGATTTAGTGTACGGGGTGATGCTCCGGTGATAGTAGCAGCCGTCGATCACAATTCACTAGCAGATGTAAGATAATCTACTACCCCAATATAGGACAATGGTTATAAAATTATATGACAAATCATGCATAAAATTTGTAATCTGTAATTATACGGATATATTTACAAAAATAAGTGCAGAAACTCTGATCTTTTTTAAAATACTGATAATCATTGGCTCAATTAATTTCGACATGGTATTTCGGTAAGATAATAATGATATAGCTCATTTTAGCGGCATATTTATCAAATTAAATTTTAGAAAGAAATTGTCTAATAATTGGAAAAAATATTTTATCTATATTTTAGAAAAATAATTGTGCTTATAAAAATGTGCAATTATTTCTAAATTATAATGTAGAAATATTGCAATATATAAAGTATGATACATTCAGCACTAAATTTAGTTTCAGCAGCAAAATTAAAAATTTTTAAGTCAAACGGCTTTTAGAATGCATACATGAGCTGATCTTCTGGAAGTGTTTATCAAACACTTTCAGTTTGAAAATAATCGGATAATGTGTTCTGTGATTTGTATTTGTTCAATATATTACCGACTTCTCCTTTCATTCTTGAAAGAAAGTGAATTAAAAAATTTTTACATCTCAAATTAGATTTATCAAATTTTTGATAAATATCATTTAGAAATTTTATTCTGACAAAACTGTTGTGTTATGGCAGATTATCTTTGTCAGCGCAGTTATTGCAAAATTGTTGTCAGTTGATGAGATGCCATTATTGTATAATATTTCTACAATTTACCTATCGGGGTAACACGATCCTCATTATCTAATATATTCACTTTAGTGGAAAACCATTTCGCTGAAATTATTCCGCGTTTTGGAACACCAGCGAAATTTCAGCATTTCAGAAAAATTTCGGTTTAATTTCAGTGATTTTTCGAAAAATTTGTTTTCAGCAAAATTTCGAAGAAATTTCAGTTCCATTTCAGCGATTTTTCAGTATGCTATCTGAAAAATTCACATTTAGTGAAATCTCAACAAATTTTCAGCGATGAAAATATTCTAAAAAACGAATAATTTCAGCGAAATTTTTTGCACAGTTGTCTTTAATCTTTCTTTTTGTAATTATGTGTAATACATTTAATTGCAATTACGATTACAAATACGTATTAATAATATTAATAATAACAAAACTTCCTTTTCCAGGTGGGCGGAATGAAGGAAGGTGATTTCATAGTCGGCATCGGCGAAAAAGACGTCAAGTGGGCATCCCACGAGCAAGTCGTGCGGATGATAAAACAATGCGGTGACTTTATAAATTTGAAATTAGTCACCCCAATGGATAGGAATTATCTAAAGGTAAATGATAAAATTTATAACTAATAATATTCCAATAAAAAATGTAATGCGTTAATTAAGATAAGAAAATTCTAAAGAATATAGGGTAAGATCGCCCAAAAGTACGTATCGCTAAAGAGTACGCATTAAGCTTTACCCAGTAAATGAGGATGAATTGAAATGGATTGAAATTTTATCTATTCGAATGCGTATTTTAAGTAAGAAAAAAATTATATTTTTATATTCTATCAATTGAACTAGATTCAATCGGATTGAAAAATTGTATTTCCTATTCAGAATTTTAACTTGAGAAGTATTCACGACGCACAGAAGAAAGTTATTATTTTTAGATCGAAAGGTATAAAAATGTGCTTCATGAAATTCCTATAAATAAATAAAAATGCATTTGAATTGAAAAAGAAATTTATTTTAATGTTCGCGAATGCATATTTCTGAAAATTTTGACCCATTTCAATTCACATTTTAATTGTTATTTACTGGATATGGCACAACTATATTAGATCGCAACAGCTGTAACTCACACAGAACATACCTTTTTGATTAGCCAATCTGTGTAAAAGATACTTGTGATCGTTGCAATGAAATAATGCCCCAAACACAATGCGAAGGAATAGCGATAGCGATAGAAATAACATGATTTCAACCTATCAGAAATCAGATACAATGGAATATACATTCTGATAGGTTGAAATCGTGTTATTTCTATCGTTATCGCTATTTCTTCGCATTGTATCCGGAGCTTAAAGGAGATATATTAAATTTTGTGATTTTGATCATTTTCTTACTATATTTGTCATGAATAAATTGATCGATTTTTACATTAATTTGTTACTTTATGAGTCTGTACCATTTATACTATATGTATAAATGTTTTTTTTGTATTTAGTAATATGTTTATTATACTTAATATTATATCTGTAATAATTTTTATACGGTTGCATTATTAAAAGTAAAAAGTGACGTGATGTCCGCAAAAAGTACGCACTTGAAAACTTGATCGAGCCCGTAAGAAACAATGATACTGTAGATAATGATAACGATGATACATGTATTTTGTAACGGTTGTATTTGTATTCTAAATTCGGTGAAAATTGAATTCTGATCCCCTATTCTTGAAAAGTATCACCAGAGAAAAATCTAAAAGAGGACATGACAGTATTTTCCTGTAACCGCAAAATGCCCTCGTATACTACTGTATGTCCTTTGAAGAAGTGGATGTAAACTACATAGCTGTCTATTTTTTTTTGCGGTGCTCCTGATGGAAATAAATCGCCGTAATTGTTGAAATCTCTATTAACTTGATAGATTTTATTTTAACAATTTCAACGATTTATTTCTATCAAGAGCACCACAAAAAGGAAATAGATATTGTTGTGTAGCTGTTTATATCCACTTCTTCAGAGGACAGTAGTACGCGGGGGCATATTTTGGTTACAGGAAAAAGGCCCTCATGTTCTCTCTCAGGTTTCTCTCTGGTGTCACATTCGTGAAATTAGGAAAATACTGTAGTGTACGTTATGTATACTATAATATTTCCCTAGTTTTACGTATGCGATATTTTTCAAGAATAGGGGCCATGGTATCAAAGCAGCTGGCTCTAGGCCCATTATCGATTGCGCTGGGATATCGACTGTCGATCGAAAACTTATTTATGTGATCTCTGCACGTAAAAATACTTCAGGTATTTATAAAAATTTATATTTAATCAGAAAAAATAAAAGCTTTTCAATCAACATTGTTTTTTACAATAAGCGACACTTTTTTAATAGTGTGTACTCTCAAGAAAACACTTGCCCAAGAGTACGCATTTTTACCTTTAGGCCTGGTTGCACCAATGCTTTGACTTTAAACGAGACTTAAAACTCTCTCTGTTTCATTTTAAAGCCGAAAAAAAAACAGAGACAGAGAGATATCTGAGAGTCTCGCTTAAAATCAAAGTATGTTGGTGCAATCGGGTCTTAGTAAAATTAATCTCCTGTAAAAATGAGTGTTTGTATCAAATTGATACTTGACAAATTTTTAGCTCAAACTATAAAGAATAGCTTAAGCAGCATTTTATTACTGCTCAAACTCGGGTACTTATATATATATATATATACAAATTATACAGCATGAAGGAAAAAGAACGTACTTTTGGGCGGTTTTATCCTATGTAGCAATACCATAGAGATTAGATAATTGAAATTAATTAGTTTTGATAATAAAAATTTTTCTATTTGTCTATTTTTCCATTCTCTTTTTTATTAAAAAAGATAATAATTGTTATTAATTAAAATATTTCTCTGACAAATAATAATCGGTCAATGTAAAAGTACGACGGTAGAAACTAATTATTTTAGAAACCAGGAAAACCCAACAATCATCACGATAAGGGCAGCGTCTCGGCGAGCAGCTCTTCTGGAGTTTCTTCCGGTCAACCGAGCCCGGCGGGATCCGTCACTACGGCGCATGTAGTGAGAAGGCTTCCGTGGAATCCATTTAAAAAATCTGGCATCCAACGCGAGAACAGAGATCTAACCTTCGACAATGTTATTCTCAGATGATTACCGGATTAGAAACAATCCGGTCCAGTTATTGTACATTATCGTATGAGCTTAGAACATGCTGCGATGAATTGATCGAAATAAAAATCGATCAAAATTCACCGATTGCCAAAATTGAATGTTGTTTGGCATAAATAACAATTCACTATGCAAAAATTTCATACCAATACCGATAATATTCCATGTTAAACACAATAAATATGTTTATGTGTAAGAGGCTTTCTACAATAAGCAATTACTTAAGCTTTAAATCTTAAGCCGTAAGAAATTGACCAATCATAATCAATTACGATCAATATTATTTGGCTTATTGTAGAAAATCTTTAACATTGATTTTGCAATTAATTCATGGCGCGAGTAATGACTGAAATTGTTTGTATATCGCTAAATATCGGAAGCATTCAGAATTTTTCTGTTTGTGGTTAGCAAAGTCTTATCTGCCCAATGAAAATTTTTCTTAAATTTTTTTTATAATTTTTTAGATTTTTTTCAATTTCAAAATTTCTCAGAATTTTTGTATAATTTCATAATTTTTAAAAAAATTTCTCATATTATTTATACAAATTGGAACACTTTTAAGAAGTAGTGAGAAAATATTACATTATTTCTAGAATTCATGAGAATTCTGAAATATTTTAAGATTTCTAAGAATTCTCATTCTATAATTTCTGAAGAAAATTTATAAAATATAAAAATATTTGAGGCATTTTTCAGAAATCTTTAATAAAATTAAATGACAAGTTCTTAAATATATTATTATTATATATATATATATATATATTATAAGAATTTTTCTCATTAGGGCAAATAGCTCATTATGATAAAATCTTTGCTAAGCAAATTATATCCAAGTTTAATTCGACGAGTTTGCAATTCAACATGGTTTTGATAAAGTTGCAATTGTTAATATTGGAGATTTTTCGCTAATATTCTTATGAGTAACAGTGCCAACGTAGGCGTGTAGTGTAAAGTTTAAACAAACGCTCGTTATCGTTTATTTCGATGGGCACACGTTTTACGACTGATTTAAGCTACATATGATCATACTCTGTCATATTGTTTATATAAATGTGTTTACAATTGGTGAACTGGATTGATGAAAGGATAAACGTATTGACAAATAGTCGTATAGCGACACGAGATGTAACAAGTTCTGTAATTGTCGTGCTTTGTATTTAAGCTTTCTTGTTAAATCGTTAAGCGGTTTAATATTAATTGGGTCTTTACGTGCGTACTTACGTTCGTATGCATCTGTACATTTATACATAGCTGTAGCATCGTTAGAAGCGTGTACACAACTTTTTACGTTATACATATACATACAAGAAATTATATCTCATTCTGTCCAGAAACGACTTTTATTTCTATTTTCCCAAGTACCCAAATTTCTTTTAGTATAACGTACCTCTTGATACCTTTGTTCTCAGCTCTATAAAACTAGCAGGACCAAATCAGCAAAATCAAATCGGACCTATCAGAATTTTTAGTACTCATTTTGTACTAAATTGTACTATTAATGATAATTTTATACCGTGTGCCATTTCGAAAAAAATAGTGGCGCTACTGGCTTAATATTAAGCTAGCAGGACCAATACAAAATAAAAGATGAAAAAAAATAATATTAGAAATTAATACGATTGAATTTGTACTACTTTGTACTGCCAAAAACAATTCTATATTATGTCATTTTCAAGAAAATAATGACGTTGATAATATTTAAGCTGGCAGGACCATAAAAAAACAAAATGAGGGAAAAAATTAACACAACTGAATTTGTACTAATTTGTACCATTGAAAGTATATAAGTTAATATTTTACATGATTTTTTTTTTCCTTAAAATGACTTTATTAGTATATACTTACAATCTAATCTACGTCAAACCGTGCACCTATGAAACATCATTTTATTTTGTTTAATTTGCTAACATATTCTATACATAACATCCCAGACAATATTTACAAAATATTTACAAAATATTTAGAAATATTTATAAGATTTATTTTAAATATTTTGTAAATATTTTTGTGGTTTTAGTTTGCACAGATTATAAATATTTATTATAAATTTACTTAAAAAATATATTTCATCAATATGCATAATATTATCTTACTGAGATGGTTGCATTTTCATTTCAATGAACGTCGCTGAAGCTTTTAGGGTCGCCGGAGAAAGTGCATTGGCTGAAACGTTCCTTAGTACGTGCAGTTCTTAGCCGTTCAGACGACACGAAACTTTCAACGAACTTGTACGGCAGCCACATAAGCTAATTGTACCAAAGTGCTCGAAATTCTGATTCGATATGATATTTCGCATTTGCATACACGCGGTGCGGGTATACATAATTCGCGACCTTTCAACAGTATCTCAGACGAGAATTAAAAAGTCATTATCTCGAAGTGATAAAGTATTAGCTGCTTTTCTTAATTTTGTTAAAGATGTGTAACCATTCCATATTTTTTGATCTACTGAATTATCGCCAAATAAAATTTCATCTTTGTCGATATATATGGCCGAAAATAAATATCACATGACACGAATTTTCTATCTTTATCGCATTTTCCGCACGATAGGCATAATAAATTGTATCTTGTGCGCCGCCGAATTGATGAGCACATCTACACATAATTGGCCTCAAAGCTTCATATTAGTTACGGTCATGAAACAACTTTGCCGGGATTTCTACTTTCTCAAATGTTCGCCAATGTAAAGCATTTATTATATTTCAAATTTTTAATAAATTTCAAGAACTAAATAGATTTTTTAATTCTCAGAACGCAAAGTTTAATTATCTTGAAATGAGAAATATATAATTTTACACCATTAAGAATACAAAGTGTTTTCTAATCCAAGACACAAAAGTCCAATTATCTCATTATTTTTATTAAATTAAATAAAAAGTATTAAAGTTAAATTATTTTTATAATCCCGAATGAATATACAGAGAACGAATTTAATTGTTCCATCTAATAAACTTTTGCAATTTCTACTGCGAGCCAAAATTGTAAAGATGTTGATTGCGTAGCAAGCTTAATTGTGAGTAATACAATTTTTGATATTAAAAATTATAGGATTTATTTTATATTCGAATATATTAAAATTGGATGATTTATGCTCTGCGCCTGAGTACAGCTTTAACGACATTTATTGCTACGGCACAATTTTCTCAGTGCACACACCTATGCAAAACTATAGACACACCGAAGAAGACTAGCCCAGCAAACGAAAATGAATTGAAATAGATTGGAAATTTTCAATCCATCCGAATCCGTATTTTAAATCCATAAAAATGGATTGGATTCCATATAAAACATTTTTCTACATGTAAAAGTTTAAATAAATTAAAGTAGTAATTATACATGAAATTCTATAGTTATTATTTTAAAACTTTTATACAAAAATTACGCTAGCTGTATATAATAAAGGAAACGTATTAATATAAAATATACATAAAAGCAATTAATTTATTAATTAAAAATAAGGAATTTACGTATGTAACATTTATTGCACATATTTACGTAGTTCTTTTTATGTCTCTGTTAAGTATTAAATGAAGTAGAATTCATGATATATTTTTATGGTACAACTTTTTTTACTCAGTCGAATTAAAACGAAAAATTTCTTATTCATAATTCTGAATAAAATAGCATTTATGATGCATTTTTAAATGAAACAATGGATTTTTTACTCACAATTTTGAATTGAATAGTATTCATGGCCCATTTTAAATGAACATATTTCCTATTCAGAATTTTAAATTAAGCAGTATTCACGATGCATAAAAATGGCCGATATTATTATTAGATTCGACTGGATTGGAAAACTGCATTTCCTATTCGAATTTTGAATTTAGCAGTATTCACAATGCACGGAAATGACTGATATTATTTTTATATATTCAACTGGATTGAAAAACTGCATTTCCTATTCGAATTTTGAATTTAGCAGTATTCACAATGCACGGAAATGACTGATATTATTTTTATATATTCAAATGGATTGAAAAACTGCATTTCCTAT